CCGTTTCGTCATCGGTTTTCGATCTAACCGGTTTGACCGACTGGTTCAAACCGAATTTTAAAACATTGCTTTAAACACTTCTAATACTATTTCTAATACTATGTTTGTTATTTTTTTGGTATGTGAGAGAAAGTCCATAAATCAACCTCAATACCAAAGTTCTATAATAATATTTGTATTTTTATTAACCACTAAAAATGTTTAAGGATAGAAAATGTAATGATTATGTTAGAACAATCTTCTAGAAAGTATTACATGATTATAAACATTGTTATATCTGACATAATGTTGAGGAAGTAATCACATGCTAATGTCCAGGTGAACTAATTAGAATACATCAATTAAATAACTTATTTATGCAGGTCAATTTCACGCCTAATCGTCGTCTTATTATTTTATTCAGTTACTAAAACATATATTCATAAAATCTTATCTCTTTTGTTTTTAAATGATTTCGTAAACCCTAACGCGCCTACTATTGTTTTATTACACCAAAAACAAACATTTCTTTTTCTTAAATAGTATTCTAAATTAAATATATTGAGATATCCTAGAGATTCCAAGGGGGAATGGATCAAATGAGCTCCTCCTCTTTTTAGGTGTTTTGAAGTTTGAACACACAAAACGATCACTATTCACTATGAATCTCTGAATGAATCATTTAATATAAATAACTAAATATTTTGTATTTTGAAAATTTAACATTTTTTTTGTAATGTGTTATTTCTTACGTTCCAGATTAACGTTAAAAGGTATTTTTTATAACAAAAAATATATTTCAGAATAACATTCTAATCTAAAGTTCCTAATTTCGAATTACCAAACACAACTTATTATGAATGTTCAAGAACATCTCTCAAATCTAATGAGCAATTCTGAAATGTAGAGCAATTGATTCGATTTTAATGAAATTTAACAAAAAAATATATATGTCAAACGATAAATAGAAACTACAAGAGGTTTAAATTTGTATATTCAATGACTATGATCTCAATGTGAAATAAGCAATATTAGAAATGTCTAACATCCACGTTGTCGTTATCTTCACTGAAGTCACTAATTTTACACACATTGTATCATATATAAATAGTTATTATTTGTTATATTTGTTTAACTTCCCGATAAATTTCAGTAAAAAACAAAAAATTACCTCGAAACTCCGTAATTCTTCCTCAGTTTCGAAATTATTTTTGAAATTGTAGAAGAGTTTTCTTCCACTCCAAATTCCAAAAATCTAGAATGAAATGTATTTGATTTTGGATAAAGTATGTTTAAAGCTCAGCTATCATTGCAGACAAACTAGAGGTGACAATTGTGTCGTGTCGTGTCAAAATACTAAATGGGTTGAAAGTGTTTGACGATACCCGATACGTCTATTTTTGTGTCGAGTTCATTCCAGGTTTTGTGTTAGGGTATCCTTGAAATATGTCAGTGTCATGTAATGTGAAACGATTGGACATGTTGAAAGGGTATGTGTTAGATAGGCAGAAAGGAAAAACTAATAATTTGGAGGGGGAATAAATGTAGTCATAACAAGTTTAAATGACCAAATTGAAAGAGTATGAACGGGGGAAGTGGAAGACAAGATCATGAGGATGAGAGAGCGGTCAAAGAAATTTTGTAGTTTGGAAGGGAACAGAAAAATGAAAATGAAGTTTTGATCTAGACGTTTAAGTCATTTCAATATTACAAAACGACTCAATCCATATTGTTTTGGTTTTGTATATTTCGAGTTATTTAAATATTTCAAAAAACTTATAAATATACAAGCCATTTTCGAATCATATTCAAGTTGAAATTCTAAACTTTAACCTTATCTATTTAATTTTCATGTCATGTCTTGTCAACTCGTTTATTTAAACCAATTGAAATATTTTACCAGAATCCGTTTATTTTGTGTCGTATTAATTTTTGCCGCTATCTAAGACAAACATGTCAATTCTATCAAATGCTTCATCATGATAGTCATTTCTATTAATATCCTCATTATTTGATCATTCCACAAATATCAACCGGCTTAAAAGTGAACAAATACAAATATACGATAAGATATGCTTCGTTTAAATTTTCTCGTAGAACAAAAAAAGATATCTAGAGACAAAATTTTAAATACGCTTTAATATTTCATTTGTAAAAATTTTGCACTTTCAAACCATTTATCATATAATCATGTTGGTTAAAGAAAATATGTACACCTCGTTCCCGAGTGTCATTTAACGAGGGAAGTTGAGAGAAAGGGAGGGAATCCGAGAGAAAGAGTAGTACGATCGTGTTCCCAAGTTATTTTATTGGGATGATTTGGGTAGAAAAGAAAGGAAATCAGAGGATAATCTTTCCTCCTAATCTTTCTCCCAAATTGGAGAGATTTGGAGAGGAGAATCAAGGATAAAGATAACAACACATGGTTTTTAAACCTATCTATATAATCACGTATATGAACACAACACACAGAGAGAAAAAAAAATCGTCCTTCATCTTCTCTTTGGACGTCCCTGCTGCAGGCTTCAATCCTCCATCAGGTTACATTCTCTTCTCCTTTGAATTTTTTTTTTTTGTTGTTAGATCTTGTTCATCAGGTTACACTTATGTTACAACCTTTTTTTTTTTTGGTTCATATAATTTGTTTATTGTTCATTATTGTTCTTATATGTTTCAGATCACATTCCCTGTGATAATATGTTCTTATAGTTTGTTTCTTCTCATTTTTGTTATTAAAGTTGAATTGATTCATTAGGTTACTTGTAATAATATGTTTAGAACACCATTACATGTTTTCTCTTGTGATATTATGTTTAGAGCATCATTACAAGTTTCCTCAGGTTCAATATATGTTTACAAAATTTTTTTTCTGGATTTGTTTCTTCTTCAAGATCCATTGATCCAGTCCTCATACACACTCATTCTGACGACCAAGGGATGTATAACATGTCAAAAACATTTTGTGATTGTTCCTTTCAATAGCAAATACGTGCGTTAACTATTACTCAATGCAATTCTCAAAGTATCTCCTGTTGGACTATTTTGTTCTTGCTTTTATTTTAGATGTATGGTTGTTTTTGCTGCAAAAAAATAAACACAAAATTTTCTATTGATTTTTACAGAATGTTATGAATAGGTGGGTCGATTACACGTTTACAGATGAAAATAATAAAGCTTTTTGTTGGCCAAAACGATGACAAAATTGAAACTATAAACAACTTATCAAAGTTTATATAGAAGTATTGCAAAATATTTGATTAAAATAACCAACACTCATCTAAACTGGATACAACCCAAGTCAAAAATTCATGCCTACCAAAGGAAAAATGAGTAAATTTTTATTTACTTTAACTTTTCAAAAAGCTAAGGTGATTCCTCAAATTTTTCAAAGGTGGTTCCTAAGTTTTTTTCTAAAATAATTATATATAATTTTAAAAATTAAGGTGGGTTAGATGACCCACATAAGCCCTTCTTAAATTTTCCATTGTCTCTTAATAATCCTTCACATTTTTTACGTAAAATAGGTCACATTGATTTCAATGGATATTGACCTTCCTTCACCCGCTCATATTTTGAAATCAAGACAAATGCAAGTTGTTCATCTAATTTCCTTGTTGATTGCTATTCTGGTACATCACAAACTTACCATCAACAATGGTCTTAATTTACCTACTAGAGAAACTCTTTTAAAAGTCAACGTGTACGGGAAGAGTTGTTACATAACCTCTCAAATGGTGGTCAATGTCGTCAGCTTATCCGTATGAGTGAGTAAGCTTTTAAGAAGCTATGTGTTATCTTACGACGTGATAGTGGTCTTTGACCTACTCAACGAATGTCTGTTGAAGAGCATGTTGCAAGATTTTTGCACATTGTAGGTAATGATTTGAGAAACACATTTGTCTCTTGGATGCATCGGCGCTCGAAATTCACAACGAGTAGGTGCTTCCATAGAGTTTTGCGCTCGATTATAGCATTAGAAACTCTTTATATTCAACAACCACAAGGTGATGTTGTCCCCAAAGAAATTCAAGAGAAAAAGAGATTCTTTCCTTACTTCAAGAACTGTGTAGGAGCAATTGATGGTACACATGTTCGTGTCAAAGTACCTAATAGAGATGCCCCTAGATATCGTGGCCGCAAGGGTTACCCAACGATAAATGTGTTAGCTGCTTGTTCATTTGATTTAAAGTTTACGTATGTTTTAACCGATTGGGAGGGTACTGCATCAGACTCAAGGATACTAAAGAATGCGCTTAATAGAGATGATAAACTAGTAATTCCAAATGGTAATTTCTAGTATCAACTTTTTATTTTTTAGTTTAAATTATTATTAAAAAACTAATTACAATTTAATTACAGGTCGCTATTATTTAGTAGACGCGGGTTTGCCTCACTCAACTATATTAATGGCGCCATATAGAGGTGTTAGGTATCATTTAAAAGAATATTCCACTCGGGCACCACAAAATGCTAGAGAGTTGTTCAATCTTCGTCACACTTCATTACGTAATGCTATAGAAAGGGCATTTGGTGTTCTAAAAAGAAGGTTCCCTATCATTAGAAGTACACAAGAACCTTTTTATTCTTGTGAAACACAATCAGACATTTTTTTGGCGTGTTGTATTTTGCATAACTTTTTGATAGTTGAAGATCGTGACAAAGATCTTGAAGATGAGGTATTACAGGAGGTGTTAAGTGCACCAACAGAGGAAGTGAGACATAATTCAAGTGGTGCGCGTGAGGGTAACAGCATGGCAGAGCAACTTAGGAACTCAATTGCAAATCAAATGTGGACTAATTACTTATTGAATCCAAACAATGAAATAAATATGTCAACATAGTTTAAGAGTATTTTGTTATATTACTTCATTTGCAATTTGAATTTTTATTGAACATTGTTTTGTGAATTTATTTGTGTTATTTAAAAAAAAATTATGTTATTTTTGATAACTTGTACACTTTATAACTATGTTCTTTTTATAATGATGTATGTTTCTTTTTATGTTATGTAGAACCCAATAATGAACAAGCAAGAACCTATAGTAAATACTGGTAAGAAATCACTCTTGAACTGGACAGAACATATGGATGCTGCATTTGTTGATGCAATGGTACAACAACAAGAAAAAGGAAATAGACCTTATGGAAATTTTACATCACAAGCGTATGCGAATATGGTTGAGGAGATCAATACGAAACTTACAATGAATTTAACTAAAAGTCATCTGAAAAATCGTTTGAAAACTTTGAAATCTACTTTTTCACAATGGTATGACATGTTCAATGGGATTTCCTTGAGTGGGTTCAGTTGGAATGCTGATACCCAACTAATTGAAGCAGATGAGGAGGTTTGGGATAACTTAATTAAGGTTAGTTTTCATTTAAGGTTGTATTTAGTTTATTTTATATATTATGTTATTATTAATTATTTTAATGTATTTTGGGGTTTTTAAACAGTCAAAGCCTGATGCAGTTGCATTGAAGACAAAAAAGGTGGCCCACTTTGAACAAATGTTGGTATTATTTTGCAAGAGATAGAGCTTCAAGAGAAAATGCTGAAACTGCAAAGGAGAGAAATGCTAGGTTTAACAACACTACGGACATCAAAATAGAAAGTATTTCAGAGGTTGATTCTTTATTAGCAAGTAATGATGTTAGACTGGAGAACCAACGTGTGGATGATGATGAAGATGACATTTAAGTGGTGTCTCCTACACCTGAACAAAATTCAAGTGCCAAAAAATGTAAAACTAAAAAAGAAAACTCGTAGACGAAATAGAACAGGAAGTTGAATCTCAGCCTCAACCTGAACCTGAAACATTTGAAACAAAGATTATGAATGCTGTTGGTGATGTGGTTAATGCTATGAGGGAAGGTAACAAAATTTTTGAAAGAGCTTACCATCATGAGTTAACAGGTGATGAAATTTATCAAGAATTGCAGCCGATGGGTTTGGAAGTCCATGAAATATCAGGTGCTCTCATGTATTTGGCTCGTAACCAAGCAAATGCGAGGACGTTGTTTACTTGTCCAATGAACATAAGGAAGGATATACTAAAAACAATGATGGGCGCAGGTAAATGATGAATTGGGAGAATAGGTGTTTATTTCTTGGTTCTTTGTTCAACTTTTTTTTGGTTTCACAAATTGAATTATGGTTTTTCGAATCGTAGTTGGATTAAGTTGCATTGTTTTGGATGATTTTTATAGTTTGGTTTCTTTTCAATTAGACAAATGCTATTAAAAGATATCCACAACTTTTTTTATTTTAATATTATTTATGTTTTGCTACTCATTGATAATTTAATTTAATATTATATGTAGGTTGTATTTGACAAAATATATATGTGTGTGTGTGTGTAAATGAATGTTTAGACAACAAATATGACGTTAACATGAAAATCAACATTTTTTTTCAATTTCAACTATGTATGTAATAATCTTGCTAAAAAAATAGGATAAAATTGTAATGTTGTTATTTAGCTTTCTTTTCTTTTCTTTTCCTTTGAACTCGGGAACACACTTTTTAAAAAACTTCCCTTCCTTTCCATTGGACTTGGGAACACGAAAAAGTTAATCACTTCCTTCCCCTCCCTTTCTTTTCTCTCCATATTTTACTTCCCTTTCTTTTCTTTCGTTTAATGAAACTCAATTAAACTCGGGAACAAGGTGGTAGTGTTTGCACTTTGAAATATTAGACAAGCACTACTAGAAATGGAGTTTTAAACGATACATAATAACTCCCTATCTAATTAGCTACGAAGTTGCTAGGGATAAGCGACAAGATATGCTTTTATCCATATAACTTAAATCGAAATAAATCAACTATGGAATTGTAAGGGATCAACGATAATTGAATTCCAAAAATTGAGTGAAAAATGGCAAAAAGGTTTGTATGCTCGCTATTTTTCAATTTCCCTCCCATTTATTTCATTCCCTCAATTCCTCCTTCTCAAATTGACACCCTCTTTTCGCCGATTTCTGATGGCATCACCCCTACCATGGACTATCAGATACCATGGTTTTTTGTGCGTCTATAACTTGCTTCATCTACTAATGGGTATTGAATGTAACCACGTAGAGAAGACACAATTGAGATTTGACGTGTTTGAGTTCTAACAAGTGTGATTTGATTTTTCTATTTCATTTTTCTTTTAGATTTTCTACTTTTGTTGTGTTTTAAACGGATTAATTTATTACTCACTAGGTTATAATTCGTGGGAACCATGGTTATAAAATAAATTAAATATTTATAAAAAAACTTATAATTACTAATAAGTTATTGTAAATAAATTATTAATTAAAATATATATTTTTGTATTTATATAAAATTATAATCGTTATTTTAAATGAAAATGTGAAATTGAAAGGATAATATTATGCTTAATTTAGATCAAGCTTATTTTCAATCACTCAATTTAGTAGATTAGTATAATTTATTTTTGATTTTTTTAAATTTGTGAATATTCACTGCAAATGAGATAAATATTTGTATATATATTGAGTATATTGTATAGTTGTTTACATTGTTTTATTTGAAAATTTGAAAATTAAATTGTAAAAATAAATAGGTGTTATGCAAGGGTTTAGTATATTTAAAGGGATTGCATAAAGGTGACGTGATTATTTGAAATTACATTTATTGATTAAGAGTTATTGTAATAAATTAGGCAACAGATATTACAAATCAATTTTTTGCTGACGTGTTTCATTTTATGTAAAATGAATGATTGAATTAGTGGAAATGTAATTAATAAGAAAAAACCAAAGACCGACATATGGTAAATAATTAATTTCAAGCTCTAATTGATTGACACATGACAAATTTGCTACTGTTTTATTAGGTAGGGAGATTTGTGTTCTAATAGGTCTTTTCGGGTTTTAACGAATTCTATTTTTTTTAATACTGTGAAATCAACTTTCATTTGGTAAAACGACTTATTTTGTGGGTTTTGTTTACATGTTTGAGTTTTATTTGAGTTTTGGTAAAAGTGAGTACTTTGTGGGTTTTGTTTAAAGTTTGATTTATGTTTTAGATTTTATATCCAACATGTTTATGTATACTTTTGTATTTGAGTTTCATTTGTGTTTTTCGATTTAGAATATGTCTTATATATGTCTTTATTAAATATTAAAAGATCAACGGTAATATTTTAAATATCATTTATCTACAAAATGATAATATTCAACAACAATATAAAATAAGCAGTCAATACGTACATTTCATCAATATTGTTGAAGATGAAGCGTTTTGTTTGTTATGAGAACAACATTCCAACAATTAAGAAGTAGACGTTTGATTATTATATATGTAGATATAATATGGTTAAATTTTTTAATTAATATAATAATTCTAAGATATAAAAATGTATAAAAGATTTTAGACAAATATGATATTTTGAAACTTTATAAAAGGTAAATATGATATCAAGAAATTAAATTGGACTAATATGATATTTTAATGTTTAAAAAAGATATATGAAATTCTCGTTTTTCAATTTAAGGGTAAAACTTTAGAGGTTTTTGGTCTAACATATGCTTCAAAATTAAACAAGATATTTCTTTATTTAGTTAAATATCCCATTTTATTTTTGTTTATATTTAGAAGCCGGGTCAACGAGATTATTCCTCAGTGTAACCATGTGCATAGCAAGCAATTTGAAAGGAATGCGCAAATTCATAAGACACAAAAGAATATGAGGCACCAGAATCAAATAAGATGCGAGCATGTCTAGAGTTGACAAGAAATGTATCCGTCACAACATTCGGGTCCTCGCGTGCCTCCTCTGTGGTAATTTGGAATGCACGACCCTTAGCTTTTGGCACCTCCTCTTTTTGAGTTGGAGAACTCTTTGGTTGTTGAACAAAAGCTTGACTTTTCGCTGGTTGTTGATTAGAAGCTTGACTTCCTGCGATTTGACTAGTAAGAGTAGGATAGAAACGCTTCTTGTGGCCAATAATACCACAAACAAAACCTGTATACTCTTCATTGGACAAACAGGATTTATGTGGCCCACTTCTCCACATCCATAACAGATCACTGCCTTTTCTGTTTTGCATCGGCCCTGGTGATTCTTTCCACATTTTCCACATGATGGAGACTGAAGAGAAAAAGATTGTAACCTACCGCGGCCACGAGGGGTATTATGAGATTGCACTTGTTTTCCAGGATCAGTTCGAATAGATTGAGGTGGTGGAATAGAGGGGACAGGAACATCTTAATCAACACGTGGATGCTTAGGAACAGAAAGAGTGCCACCATGTATTTCTAAGTCATGCTCGCGCTTTCGAGCATACTCAATAGCCTTTTCAAATGACAGAACATCCCGTTTAGCCACGAAATCACAGATTTCATACCGTAGCCCATCCAGGAATAACTGAATTTTATCGTCTTTAATTGGAACATACTTCGTAGCAAACCGTGCTTTTTGATTGAATTGAGTTTCATAATCAATCATATTTATTCCTCCCTGTTTAAGCTTGAGGAATTCTTTGTCCAATCTTCTCCTCATGTCTCGAGGACAATACTTTCCTAACAATCGAGTTTTTGACATCTCCCAGGATATATTCTCTTGTTCATACTTATAGAGAGCTTCATATGTTGCTTCCCACCAGACTAAGACTTCTCCGATGAGCATTGTAGAAGGATAATTAGCCTTTTCTTCATTATCCACATGAGAGATACGAAATAGTTTCTCTGTGTTCTGAATCCAAGTTAGAACAACTATGGGATTAAGGACACCAAAAAACTTTGTAGCACCACTACTCTTGAAAGTTTTGAATGAGGGACGTTTCGCCTCCCCTTTAGAAGATTCTCCAGTGACTTTCTCTTTGCCTTTATCACTATCCTTTTTGTGTTCTTCAAGAGTTTTCCAAATAACACCAGTGAGTTTATCCACAAGTCGCTCCTCATGAGGGGATACTGGAGTATTTACTTCATCATGCTGAGGATCTCCACCCACATCTGGTGTATCGCTATTCACATGTTCAGCCATTGTTCTGAAAATTTTAAGTAATATAGTATTATAGAATATTAGGATTTATCTTTACCTAATACTTTACTTAAGGTTTTCCTGTGGTATGTATCCATTTACATACAACGAATCCATTCATATATTGAACTTCCAATAGTTTAAGTCTAAATACCAATCCGTGGAATTTAGTTTGCTTAAACTACTATTCTGATACCATGATTAAAAGACTCACACTTTCATATGATTGAGAGAACCCCTTCAATAGAACTTAAAACTACATCATGATACTCCAAAACATGCTACATGCATATTCATAAATAATATTTTACTTTGATAATTTGATTACAATGACTGGATACAAACCGTCTATTAAGATTTTTACAAAATTATATATATATATATATATATATATATATATATATATATATTACATAACTTCTCAGGAATTTTAACACTCAATATAAAAGCTATAATATTATCTATTCCACATCTTCTACCAGTATATAACTATACTGGATGCTTATCACCTGCAACAGTTTAAACATTGAGAGGGATAACCGGGTGATGCTTAGTGAGTTTAATAATAGTTACAATATAACGCTATGCCATATACATTCAATATGACAGAAGCAAAGAGGGACAAAGAACAACAAATACATATGTGTATCATTTGACAGTTTTTTTATATCAACCAACAATCTGATTCAATGATTTACAATCAATGAGACATAATAATTTCCATACTTGATATACATCAATAAAGCTTCAGCCCAAATGGCATAGAAATTACAATTTTAGATTATCATTTTGCTAACATATACATGCTTTCAGCCCTACATAGCCCTATGCAAATACCAGAAGTTATACGAGTCATGCTCTACATGGCCAAAGGCACAAAGCGAATACCAAAAGTTATACGATTCATGCTCTACATGGCCAAAGGCATAAATCCGATATAGCATAGGAAAGTACATTGAATATATAACACATAATATACAATTGTCCATATATTGAACTCACCGTGATATAACTGAAGGAATAAATGACAAATTAGGCAGCACTTCGACTCTAAATTTGTCTTTCTGTGACGAAACCGGGGATTTTAGTTGA